AAAATAATAAGTGCCCCAAAATAATGAAGATCAGGTTACACGGTGGATTGCCCTCATAAAACAATGGTTTTTCTATTGTTTTAAAGTATATGTAAAAGGATATGTTTAGAATTCTCATCTTAAGTAGTATGATAGGTTAATTCATTTGTTAGCCCTATCTTAGCTCCTATTTCAAATGTGAAACACATTTTGATCATTAGTAACTTATTTCCAGAATTTTTCTGGCTCTCTTAAGACTTGTGTTCTGTGATGACATACACTACTTTTATAATGTACTTTTCTGGTAACCCTTCTGTAATCCTTATCTTCAGGTTCATACTTCTGGAAGCAGTTAACATGACTGCACGAAGAATTACATTTGTTAAACAGGTTTTCTTTTTTTTTAAGTCTAAATATGGAAATGTGGTATGTAATTTGAACAATGCCTCTGTGTTTCAGGTGCTCTTCGTTTTAAGAGAAAGATTATTGGATTAAAAGATGAGTTTTACAACCGCTACATAATGAAAAGTTTTTTGTTTGAACCAGTAGTCAAAGCATTTCTCAACAATGGATCCCGCTACAATCTGATGAACTCAGCCATAATAGAGATGTTTGAATTCATTAGAGTGGTAGGTTCTGTACTTTTTTAGTTAGAATTTTGGTTTTAATTGTTCGACAAACTTGAATATACATTATTGATACTTTGGCTTATTTGAGATTATACGAGTATTTGGAGAGAATTTTTAAAAGAAAACCAGTGTTACCAAAAGCTTGTGAGAAATTCAGTTCAAATGAATAAAAACCAAAATACTCTCTCAGCAGCTGTGACTCCATTCTATAGGACAGTTTGAAAACTGGTTTAACACTGTCAAGGTAACATTTTAAGAAAGTAAAATTACAGTTGAGAGATAAGTATTTGGATGTGTTTTTGGTGGTTTTAACTTTGAGGTCTCTGAATTTTTATTGACTTTTCTATACGTTTCTAAAGAGCAACTTCATAAACTTTTCTGGATTCTTTAATAATACAGCAGTCTTGTGGTTCTCAAACATTGGTGTGTATTAGAATTAGCTATGGCATGCTTTTAAAAAAATTATGGTAAAATATACATAACATAAAATTTGCCATTTTAACCACTTTTAACTGTACAAGTCAGTGGCATTAAGTGCATTTACATTGTTGTGCTACCATCACTACCATCCATCTCCAGCACTTTTCTGTAGTGTGATTTTAAAATGGAAACACCGGATCCCACTCCAGACTTATGGGGTACAAATCACCTAGGATGGGACCTGGCCTACGCATTGACTTTGGAAAGGCCCAGAGATAATTCTGAGTACCAAACATCAGGGGCTGTTGAAGTAGCCAGTATGTTATGCCCATTTTCATTGTTGGATTATCTCTAAGATTGTATAATAATTTTATGAAGTTAAACTATTTTGGGCGGGTTTATCAGTTGATTACAGTTAAGTCATATCTTTCTAAAATAACATTTTCAATTACAATTTTTTCCTATAGGAAGATATAAAATCATTGACTGCTCATGTAATTGAAAATTACTGGAAGGCACTGGAAGATGTAGATTATGTACAGACATTTAAAGGATTAAAACTGAGATTTGAACAACAAAGAGAAAGGCAAGATAATCCCAAGCTTGATAGGTAAATTCCCACATATTTGAATCTATTATTCAGTGACAAGTTGTATGGTGGTGGCTGTTTTTGCTTGTCTGGTATTATCTGGCTTGTCAGGGAAGGAGGAAATAACAGATTTCCTGAGCAGAAATTTTAGTTTTTTATAATGGTCAGTGTAGGTGTTTTCCTGAAGGTATAGATGGATATTAATGTGATCTGTAGACTCTTCCTCAGGCATATATCAAACTAGACAATGGAAAAGAAGCAAAAAATAAAAAAAGAAACCCCAAATGTTTTATGTGACAGTGAGGCTTCATGTGTCCAAACAGATCAGACTATTATCTCACTTGCTTTGAATTACTTTAACGTTACAGATTATTTTGAGAAATCTTGTACATTTCCCCAAATACCTGAATTCACATACTTATATATTTTAAAATCCATAAATTATGACTTGTTAATTCCTGATGTTAAGTTTAATAACTGATCTGGAAATAGTACAATTTTGATAATAGGAAGTTTGATTCCACTACTTAACACTAGATATGGCGGAGTGCATTTTTTAATTATATGTTGGGTAAAATCTTGTCAGCTTGTTTATAAATCTGTTTTATCCTGTTGATCTATTAAGACTGGATCTTATTCAGAACAGTGCTTGAAGACTAGCTGATGAAGTCTTTATGAGTCTGTTTACTCTGCTTTCTTGTCTTTACTCATAGTATGCGTTCCATTTTGAGGAATCATAGATACCGAAGAGATGCCAGAACACTAGAAGATGAAGAGGAGATGTGGTTTAACACAGATGAAGATGACATGGAAGATGGAGAAGCTGTAGTGTCTCCATCTGACAAAACTAAAAATGACGATGACATTATGGATCCAATAAGTAAATTCATGGAGAGGAAGAAATGTATGTCAGAAAGATGGGCAAGGAAAAACGCAGTCTTTCGCACTCTAGGTTTATTCTTATTCGACGGAATGATTAGGATCTAATTTGTATGTGTCGACGTAGATTTTAAAGACTGTTGCTTTATAGAGTGTGAATTAATAGCTCTGTTGGGAAAGTATAGACTAAGTTTTCTTAAGTTGACTTAAGGAGAAACATGTTATTTCAGGAAGGGTAGGAAGACTGCATATGATACTGAAGGTTTCATTCCTTCTCAGTAGTAAAATCCAGTGGATACTGGTGTTTAGTATTTTGCTAAGCTTTGTTCCGAAATTATCTTAAGTGTTTCTCCCTAGCAGAGGAGTAAGCTAGTTAACTGTGTTTGAGTGCCACCTCATTTGGGAGGATTTTAAAATGATGAGGATGGTTGCCAACTATTGACAATATTCTTCTTTTTAGTAAAAGAAAGCGAGGAAAAGGAAGTACTTCTGAAAACAAATCTCTCTGGCCGGCAGAGCCCAAGTTTCAAGCTTTCCCTCTCTAGTGGGACAAAGACTAATCTCACCAGCCAGTCACCTGCAACAAATCTGCCTGGTTCTCCAGGATCACCAGGGTCACCGGGGTCCCCAGGCTCTCCTGGATCCGTCCCTAAAAATACATCTCAGACGGCAGCTATTACTACCAAGGTACACTTTTGATTCCCAGGCCTACCTAATTTAAGCCTTCTCAACAGCTAATTGTGACTGAGACTCTGGTTACTGGCTTTTGAAACTGATGTAACATTTGTGAACTTGAGAGTAATTCTCCTACCACCACCTGAACTTACCTAAAGTTGAGAAATTTCTGAAAGGTTTTATGACAAATACAGAAGTCTGACTATATTCTAATTTTGGTTATTTGCATTTATAACCTCAGGTACATATTTGTATGGTCAAAATACTTACAGAAATTTAAGTTTTGAGTTAATTTTGTATCAGCTTTCCCAGTTAATACCAAGATAAAGGCTTTATGGGTGAAAGATAATCTAACTATCTGTACACTTCTAACTTTATTTTGCCAAGCAAGGTTTATAAAAGGAATTAACCATCTATTAGTAACATTTCACACAAGAATGAAAACCAGTTCTTTGGTTGCTTTATGCGGCCCTCACAAGCATAACAGCCTGGCAGTTGGGATTCATTGATCTAAATCAGGAATATAATGCCCATCCCTGTCCCTTTCCCTCTGGTGTGAGCAGGAGACCTCTAAGCGCTAAAAGTGAATGTGAGAGAAACGTTGGAATGAAGGGGCAGGCTGAGGGCCAGGCCAGGGCAGTGAGCTTCGCCCTGGCCGCTTATATAAATAAAGTGAGCCCCAGTGGTTTCCGGTGAGGGAGCAGGGCGGGCTGAAAGGAAGCCAGAGGGGCCAGGCAGAAGCACTTGCCTAACCTCTCAGAGTCTGCCTGCCTGTATTTCTAGTGGTCAGTTTATCTTCTGTAGTTCGTTTTGATGCTAATATTTAGACTTTGTTTTGAATGCATTGTTAATCTTTGAAAAAATGTTAATGTTTCTTGGGTGATTTGCTAGGATTATAAACTAAAAATTTGTTTTATTCTGGAAAATTTAGGAAATATATAAAAATAATGAATTTCAGTTGCATAAAATCTCATCACCCAGCAATAACCACAGTTAGTATATTGGGGGTGGGGGTGGGGTCTGTGACCATTATCTAGACTTAAAACATGGATTTGAAACTAGTGTTTTCCTTAAATAATCCTTGTTTCTGAACAGGGAGGCCTTGTGGGTCTGGTAGATTATCCTGATGATGATGAAGATGACGATGAGGATGAAGACAAGGAAGACACGTTACCATTGTCAAAGAAAGCAAAGTTTGAGTCATAATAATGGCAACTGCCTACAATCAGTACCTGTTGAAAAAACTGGTTCTCGACCCCTACCCCCTACAAAATCCACAACAAAGCAGTGGTCTCTTGTGAATGACTGACAGATCAGCCTCGCACACTTGACTTCTGCTCATCAAGTGCCAATTCAATGGAGCAGGAGGAGGGGATTACATTGGGGGAAAGACAAGCCTTTGAGCTCTCCAGCTTGGACCACACATTGCCCTTTTCTCAGGGAAGGAAATGGAAACATAAAGCCAACAGGGCAGGGGTTTTGTAAGTGGAACTCTGGATTGACTGGTCAGTTGCTACAATCAGAATATGCTTTCTCGGACCATGTTTGAGACTCAGAAGAATAGGCTTTTCGGCCATAATTCTTCACTAGTTAAGAATGCCAGCAGTTTCTTTGTATAAAGAGACCTGCCTTTAAAATCCTACATTCTGAACATTTTAGTCAAGCTACAACAGGTTTGGAAAACCTATGGGGGAGGGACAAATATAAACTTTCCTCTTTTTTATCTGTTCCCTTTGCCCTTCGAACTGCAGATTTTTTTTAAAGTGGGGATTTGTCCCTACTTGATTAAAGATTGAGTGGAATTCTAGATGTGGTCATTTGTGTCATAATTTTTTTTGTTTCATTTTGTTTTTGATTTTTTCTCCCCTGAGTGTATGCTTAGTTGTTGAGTATATATATTTGGGACCATTAAACCTTTTTTTTGATGTAATATATGCTAACGTTGTGCTGGTACCTGTTTTACCATGTGTAATTTTTGTTCTACATCACAGTTCTTAATTTGTTTAGAGTTTTATGAAAGATGGTATAGTTTTTATTGACAAAAGCAAAGTAATCTTACAACTATGTGCATACAAAAGCAATACTATTTTGTGACTAAATATTTTATATTAAAATTTACATCAGCAACTGTCTTGAGAATTCAGGGAAGTAGAGTGGAATTTAAAATTTTTAAACGTAGAACCGTGAAATTAGTATTCCAAAGAGATTCTGAAATTTCATATCTTGGGAAAATGACGGTACATTAAATCAAAATTGAGGATGGATGATTTAAAAATAACACATTTGACTTTTGAATAATAAAAAGAAAAGTGAAGAGTAAGAGAAATTGTATTAGTTGTATGTTTCTTTTTTTTCTTTTTTTTAAACTCCTCCCTTTGGAATACCAGCTGGAGTTGAAAGCGGTGGTTCCTAAATCAATACCTGGCCAGAGGACCATCAGACATCACTTTTTTACTAGGTTCTTTTTATTGTCTTAGGTGTGCTAAGTTCTTTTAAGGAAATGAAATCTCAATTCCATATACCCTCATTTTTAAGTGGAGATTTTAGAACTTACTGTTTTAAGTATCATATACTTTGAGTAGCTACTAAGCACTGTGTGCTTCTAAGCTTTTGCTTAATCCTCAGTAAATCCTAACTTGTACCAAAAACAAGATAATATTGAATAGTTGGCTAGAAAACCATAAAGTGACACTTGCTACAATCATGAAAAGAGTTTTGTTGTTGGCTATTTTTTTAACAGAAACTTTGCATGCATAATTATAAGAGTTCAAATATCTCACTATAGTATAGACCTACTTCTGAATCACAATTTCTGGCTATTAATAATTGAAGTTTATCAACTTACCTTGCAAATAAAGAGAAGAAAAACTCAATAGGATCTAAGTTAATTATATCATGTCTTACTTTGTTACCTAGAAAGTCCCATGTGAAATGTTTGTGCTTTACACGTACAGTGTAAACTCACCTTTTGGACTGACTCTTGGAACACTTATTTGCCTTGGTATTCTGAGGGTTCTTGGGTAGACAGAAGCAGCATAGCATCCCTTGCCTTCATAAATTGTGGTCCACTATATTTAAAAAAGAAAGATATTTACTACTGGTCTTCAACATTTAAGAGCTGCCCTTACGTTGATGGATTATTGTGTTTCATTAGTTACTATTGTTACTGAAGTTAAACTTGACACAAGTTGCTATAATAGGAGAAATGAGATCTAAAATAGCTCCTCATTTTATTGAGGAAGACTGTTAGCAATAAGCAAAAAGACTTAGCTAGAAATATAATACTTGATGAATTGACATAGTTCCTTCCATCTGGCTCATGCTCTTAAGTATAGATACTGTCTTGATAATTGATGTGAATACAATTTTGTGAATAGATTATTTTCCATTTTCATGATATGTATTGGTTCTTTTGCTCATTTTGCAATGTTTAAAATGAAAAAAATTTTACTTATAGTGATTACAATTTCTGAAAAGACATTATTTGTTATAATTGCTACAGGAAACACTTTGACATCCTGTCTTGTCTAGAATTGCTCCCCTGGCATTTTTTTGACAGAATGAAGCCTGATGGTTTTTCCCTCCTGATTGTATTCAGATCCTGCCCATTCTCCAGGAACTCCAATTTGCAAGCCAATTTTTGTACTGAATTTGGTGCTGAAGAACCGGGGAGGCATAGACTAGGGGCAAACATTCTTCCTGGTTTCCTTAATTGATTTAAGTAATGGTTTCTATAAAGCTTGCAAGATTAGAGCAACAAGTTTAAACTGGAAGATTTCTTTAAGTGGAAAACTTTTCAGGTTGTCAACAGATGCCTAGTATTTACCATAAACAACTGTTTGAACAGCGTTGCCAGAATCCCTTTTGAAAGAAAACAGGACCTTCAAAATTCTTATATATGAGGTTATATTAACTTTTTCTGCCATAACATCCATTTTGAGCAAGAAAATTATAACATTTTTAAGAAATAGATTATTATCGTCTACCATTACACTGGGACATTGAGACAACATGAGGCAGTATGTTGTGATACCCAGTGCTAAAACAGTTTGATTTTTATCTCCTTGGCTTTAATGCTTCATCTTGGCTCTTTAGAATGATAATTTCAAAAGGAAACTTAACCTGTCTTCAGATAGATAAATAACTACCGGAGTCAGATGTCTTGTTCCTTAAAATAACTCTGGTTGGAGACACAACTTTTCCTTGACCTTTCTGCTCTCCTAGGTTAAGTTCTTCCATGGACTCGTAGCAAATAGTGATTTCTTCAACATGGTGCTAAATGGGTTTTTGTTTAACTTTCAATTCTCACCATGTCAATGAAACTGGCTGGTGTAGGTCACATCCCACCAGCCAATTCAATGGGCCCTTTTCCACCTTTACATGGACACGTCAGCAGCATCGGCTGCTATCCACTGGCCCTTGATAGCTTTCGCTTGGCTTCGATCGCATCATGTGCTTTAACCTTTCTCACAGCTCCCTTCTATACCCCTTACATGCTGGGATTCACTAGGGCTCCATCTTGGGTACTCATCTTCCCAAGCGCCAGCCAGGCCACGTCACTTGTATGTCCCTGACCCAATCACACAGTGCCCGAACAGACGCCGGAACCTGCCTTGTGCCCCTCTGCTCTCCCTGTCTTGCCTGCTGAGGAACTCATTCACCTTTCAACATGCGAAAGTATTCCCCTGACAACTTCCTTGAAGGAAGTGGTTATATCCTTTTCAACTCTTATCCCTAGTATTGAGCATGACACCTAGCCCACAGATGGATCTCCAAAATGTTCCCTCGGTGAATGAACGAAGGACTGACTACTGTGCACAGAATATACAGATGGAAAGTCTGAGCTGATGCCCTTATTATACAGTGAAGAGTTTGAGTCATTCTTGACCATAAAATTCCCTCTTGTGGATATAAAGGGAGGACTCGAGACTGTCCTTTGTACTTCTGAGCCTTCGGTTAGTAGTACTAACGAGGGTGTTTGAGGTTCATTGAATTACCCGATTTTGACTTATTTCAACAACTCCGAAAGTTCTTAAGTGTTCCTGGTCTAGTCATCCCTGGCTCCAGCACCTCTAACTCCTTAACTCTTACTGGTCCTTTGGCCACAGGTCTTCACATGTAAGTACAGACCCCTGCCTTTTATTGCCGGACATAGCCATGAGCTATACATTTCACAGGCCACTCATCTGTTGGTCTGATGTTTATTAATCTCACGCTCCTATATTCCCTGGAATGTAGTTCCTGGAAGGCAGGCCCAGATTTACATGATTGTCTTTGTACAGCTATTAGTACAGCACCATAGATGGTGGTTAGGTACAGAGGTAGATCGATGGCAGATAGGTTAGGTAGCTTTCCTATGTAAATTTCAATGGACACTTCACAGGAATAAAAGGGATGCATTTTCTTCATTTCCGAAAGGATAACTCATTTTAGCCTAAAAAACGTGATGACTCAAAAATTATAGTACTACATTCTAGCATTAAACACCTTTTATTCAGGAATGTCTTTCTGCTGTCATACAGGAAAAAGCAGGTTAATTTTACTTTAATGCTACTGTAATTTAAAAAATGCTACTTCAGGTTTCCTCATCCTAACTTCTAAAGCACTGCTCTGGAGGAAGATGTGGAAATAACGACACACTTTATTAACCAACCTCCAAGATGGTTCTGTTTTCGCTCATACTGAGAGACAGGAGTCCCACCAAAACTAAGAGCTGAGAAAACTTTGACTTTTTTAGAATTCTTGGCTTTCAGAGTTAGGGTAGTGAATGTGAGGAATTGTTATTAGTGAAAACCCTTCATCCAATCTTACCCCCCCCCCCATCTGAGCCCTTGAAGGACCTATTTTGGAAGACTAGAATGGGGAAGGGGATAGGACAAACAAAACAGGCTGAAGGAGCACTCAGGAAACCTCACGCACAACGTACTCCATGCATGTTGAGGGATCAGTTGGTTCTAAGAATGAATTTCCTGGTAGAAAGTGGAGAAAAGTTGTGGACAAAGTATAATGGCAATGGCATAGTTAGAATGGCCTGGGTTTCAATTCTTACTCTGCTACTAGGACCTCGGCAAATTCTTTGAGCCTTGGTTTCCCCATGTAATGGGAGTAACATCACAAGACAAGTGTGAGGACTGCAGACTAGATGTATGCAGAAAGCAACCAATGGTAGACAACTATTTCATATGTTACAATAGTCTAAATCTGGAGGGTGATGGCTATGACTGCCTTGAAAACCTAAGTCTATGCAGTGGGGGATCAATATACAATATTGTAATACAATACAATATATTGTATCTGGGGGGGATACATTCCAAGACCCCCAGTGGATGCCTGAAACCGTGGATAGTACCAAACCCTATATATAGTTTTTTCCTATACATACATACATACCTATGATAGTTTATAAATTAGTCACAGTGAGATTAACAATAAAAATAAAATAGAACAATTATGACAGCATCATGAAATAAGTTATGTGAACATGGCCTCTCAAAATATCTTCCTGTACTGTACTCACCCCTCCACGTGATATGATAAAATGCCTACATGATGAGATGAGTGATGTGAGGTGAATGACGTAGGCATCGTGACGTAGCGTTAGGCTACTATTGACCTGACAATAGTAACAAGCACTTTCCAGCTTCTCTTTGGCACATCCGAATCACCTAATCATGAAAGAAATGCAAATCAAAACCATAATGAGACACAACCTCACATCTGTTAGGATGGCTGGTATCAGAAAGGTAAAAGACAAATGCTGGCGAGGATGTGGAGAAAGGGGAACCCTTGTGCACTGTTGGTGGGTGTGCAAACTGGTGCAGCCACTATGGAAATCAGCACTAAGATTCCTCAAAAACTAAAAATAGGGCCGGCCAAGTGGCTCAGTTGGTTAAGAGTTAGCTTAAGAACGCAAGCTCAGCAACAGGGCCACCGGTTTGATTCCCACATGGGCCAGTGACACTGTGCCCGAGCTGAGCTGCTGCTGAGCTGCCAACAGGTGGCAGGATGGCTCAGCTGGTGAGAGCATGTGCTCCTAACAACAAGGTTGCCTGTTCGACTCCAGCACGGGATGGTGGCTACGCCCACCCGCAACTAAGATTGTAACACAGCACCTTGAGCTTAGAGGCCACAAGCTGCCGATGGGCAGCCAGATGGCGACTGGCGCCCTCCACAACGAAGATTGAAGAACAACAACTTGGCTGCTCCCCCTCCCCAATTCCCCAACACTATTCTCCTCCCCGAATTCCCCAATTAAAATAAAAAAAATTAAAAATAGAACCACCCTATGATCCAGCAATTCCACTTCTGGGGCATTTATCTGTAGGAAACGGAAACACTGTCAAGGAGACACAGCCACCTCCATGTTCATAGCAGCATTATTTACAATAACCTGGAGAAAGAAACAACCTAAGTGTCTATCTGCTGATGAACAGAAAAAGAAGTGGTATACACACATACACACACACATGAATATTATTCAACTGTAAAAAAGGAAATCCTGCCATACTAACTGAAATATGTCAGACAGATACTGTGTGTTAATACTGTGTGATCTCACTTATAAGTGGAATCTAAAACAAAACAAAACCTCATAAAAAAAGAGGACAGATTTGTGGTTACCAGAGACAGGAAGTGGAGGTAGAGGAAATTAGAGGAAGGAGGACAAAAGGTACAAACTTCCAGTTATAAGATATATAAGTACTAAAGATGTAATGTACAATGTGATGACAATTAACATTCCTGTTTGGTATACATGAAAGCTGTTAATAGAGTAGATCCTAAGAGTTCTCACCACAGGAAAATGTATACATATTTTTTGTATCTACATGAGATAACAGATATGAACTAAACTTACTGTGGTAATATGTAAAATCATTGTGCTATACACCTTAAACTTATATACTGCTGTACGTTAATTATATCTCAACAAAACTGGAAAAAATTTTTTAAACATAATCCAAAGCTACAGTAATCAAAAGAGTAGAATTGGCTTAAAGACAGACATCTAGACCAATGAAATAGAATAGTCCAGAAATAAACCTCACAAAAGGTCAAATGATTTTTTTTTTAACAAGGGGGAAAGGTTTTTTCAACAAATGGTACTGAGCAAACTAGATATTCCTATGCGAAAGAATGAAGTTGGACACTTAACTCAAAATGGATCAAGAACCAAAAAGATAAAGCCTAAAACAATAAAACTCTTAGCAAATGTAGGACAAAGGCTCACGACATTGAATCTGGCAATGATTTCTTGGATATGAAACAAAGGCAATGGCAACAAAAAGAAAATAGACAAACTGGACTTCATGAAAATTGTAAGATTTTGTCCACCATGAGACACTATCCACAAAGTAAAAAGGTAACCCACAGAATTGGAGAAAATATTTACAAATCATATATCTGATATGGGATTAATATCCAGAATATATAGAGAACTACTACAACTCACCAATAAAAAAAAAAAACAACTCCCATTCAAAAATGGGCAAAGGAACAGACACTTCTCCAAAGAAGATATATGAATGGCCAATAAGCACAGAAAAGGACACTCAATATCACGAATCATTAGGGAAATGCAAATCAAAACCACCACAAACTCAGAATGACTACTATAAAAACAAAAACAAAACCCAGAAAACTAAGTGTTGGCAAGGATGTGGAGAAACTGGAACCACTGAGCACTGTTGGTGGGAATGCAAAATGCGCAGCCTCTTTGGAAAAGTGTGGCGGTTCCTAAAAAATAAAAAATAGAATTACCATATGATCTGGCAATCCCACAATACCCAAAAGAATTGAAAGCAGGGTCTGAATAGGTATTGTACACCCATGTTCACAGCAACATTATTTACAATACCTAAAACATGGCAGCAACCCATTGTCAGGTGAATGCATAAGCAAACTGTGGTACACACATACAACAGAGTATTATTCAGCCTTAAAAATGAAGTAAACTCTGCAATATGCTGCAACATGGATGAACCTTGAGGACATTAGGCTAAATGAAATAAGCCAGACACAAAAAGACAAATACAAGTACGGCACAAATGCTTATATGAGGTATGCAGAGTAGTCAAAATCATAAAGACAGAAAGTAGAATGTGAGTTGCCAGGGGCTTGGGGGAAGGGAGAAATGGGAATTAATGTTTTATAGGTACAGAGCTTCAGATTTACAAGATGAAACAGTTATGGGGATGGATGGTGGTGATGACTGCACAACAATGTGAATGTATTTAATGCCACTGAACTGTACACTTAAAATGGTTAAGATGATAAGTTTTGTAACGTGTATTTTAATACAATGAAAAAGAAAAAACTTATATTATGAAAGTAATATATGTTCATTATAACAAAAATCAAATACAGAGACACAATAACAAATAGCCTCCCCTCCCCCCAAGTTGTACAAATAATTTAAGCTCCTATCAGGTAACATAGACATGCATTTAGCTTGCACTGCTAAGCCAGCATTTTCTGAGAGGCGTAAAAAATTCCTTTATCAGAATGAAGATCATAATTACAATACTGCTTCTGTCTAGGAAGCAATGTATAAAGCAGAGAAATTACTTTTCTTGCAGAAATGAAAGGAAAAAATGTAAAAACAAAGAGTTAAATTTCAGACAGATGGAGTAAACGTCAAGGGGTGTTCTGGGGGGATGGAAGGCCACTGCTGAGTGGTTAGTATATGGTCTATGTGTTTGCTTCCTGAAGCTTATGCCCCAACCTGATAGAAATTTAGGGGAAATAATTCTTATTAAAGTAGTGGTAGAATGGGGCAGAGGAACAGACAGTGATTATAAACCCTATATGCATTAGTAATCTTCAACCTCAAATTTATAAAGCCATATAGGGAAAGCGTTCTTATTCTGATTTTAGGGGTTAAGATTTTAGGAAGTAACCTGTCCAGGTCATCCAGCCCATTGGAAATTTCCAACCCTGTAACCTGGGCACCATCCAATTTAGGTGACCCCCTGCCTGGCAGGGAACAAGGATGCTGAGTCAACTTCTTCTGAAAGTGAGGTTCTCCAGCCAATGAACTGTTGATACATCAATGATCATGAACCAACACAGCAGCTAACTCACCCCAAAACAGAAATTCCTGACCTGGCTGTAGCCCAGAGACTGTCAACACCCCCAGGGACAAATTCTCTCACCACAGTGGGAAATGTCTCACTACCACTGTCAGAAAGCATTTGTGCAATGTATTTCTTAGTGTGAGATTATGGTTATCAAATAACTTTAAAGATCCTCTCCCCTCTTTCCAAAAGTGTTGGGGTCAACGTGAAAAAAATTCTGGCTGCACAGGCACCCTTTACAGAATAGGTGCCTTCTAAACAAAGATGGGTGTAGATACACTTTATACCTCTTTTCCAACCAATTTTACGAGCTGGACAATTAAGGCATTAATTTAAAAACTAATGAATTTCTGGTGCACAAGAAATACACAGGTTCGAAGTTTTAGTTCCTCTGCAGTCTCCCACTGTCTTTTCCGGCGCTCTGACTTCCACACTTCTTTTTAGGAACCCCTAACTGTCTGCTTGGCTCCCGAGGCCACAATCTCACCCACTCGCCAGTCCAACAAGGTGCGACACAACTCAGCTGCAACACTACAATTTACCGGCAGGTGGCGCAGCCCTAACACTTGACAGAGCCAACTTTTCAAATTACTAACCCAACCGGCAGCCATTAAGTGCCTACTGTACACTTGCCGAGCATTACGCTGGGCGCTTCAGGTCAACCCCTCACCGCGGGATCAGGTGGGATCAGGTAGGATCAGTGTGAGGCTTACATTAGTTAAATCGATTAAAGTGCTTTGAACAATGCCTGAATTATAATGTGAAATCATTACCAGTACAAGGTGAGGTGGCAGAGACGGGCAGGAACTCGGGTCCACCGTAGCTGTCTCAGCAGGGAGATCTGGCCCCAAGATGTGCTTTCCATTTAGTTGGGGCCCTTGTCCTTTTTCCTGTCGCTTGCCACCAAGCGGCTGCTATGTCCCCCAAGTTGGAATGTGGAATTGAGCTCCTCTCTGGCAAAGTGACGGTGGTGTTGGGGGTGGAGGGAGTGGAGTCACAGTTAGGGCGGGCCCAGGTCGGTGCGGCTACATCACCGGCTTGCTGCAGGAACTCATAGAAAGAAGACCGAGAGGTGGGCACGGTGGGGCGGAAGAGGTCGCGCCCCCAAGACCTAAACTCTACCCAAAGTTTACTCCTTTGGCCTCTGGGCCTGCGCTCCACCTGCCCGCGAGACCTACCCCAGCACGTGAGGTGCGCCGGCTTGGCTCTCCCGCCACGGGCGCGGGCGGGGCCACTCTGCAGCACTCGGGACTGCAGCTCCGCCGACGGGCTGCACCTGCCAGCGGCCCAGTCTCGGGGTCGGGCTCTGCTGTGCCCCCGGCGTGCGGCGGGCCCGGGGTGACCTCGGAGAGCAGGGTGCCCCAGTCCCCGCACGCAAACCGGAGGCACAGGCGGGGACCAGGACCCCTGCGCTCTGGTCCGCACTTGGCGCGGGGCCCTCGCAGGGAAGCGCCACGTGCTGGGGCCCCCGAGCGCGCCCAGGCTGCGCTCGCGTAGGCGCGCGGAGGCGAGCCCACGTGCGGGACCAGCGCACGGGCGCCCCCGCCCCTCGCTCGCGCGCGGACCGCCCCGCTCCCTCCCGGCACCCTGCGCAGCCCAGCCCGCGCCGCGTCTCCAGGGCCGGGCACCGCGAGGCGGCGCGCAGGCAGCCCCGGGCTGCCGCTTGGGGGCGGGGCCGCCGCCCGCATTGTTCCTCCCGGAGCCGCTGGCCCTCCCCTCACCCAGCCCCGGGCGGGGCGCGGGGCTGCCGAAGCCGCGGAACGTGGGCTCGCGCCCCGCCTTTGTCTCCCGGGCGCGAGCCGCCGTCGCCCCGCGTCCGCCGCTCGCTGCCAGAGCCGCTTTGTGCCGCGGCGCGGCGGACGGGGACCGCGGGGCGCCGAGCCGGCGGGCGCAGCCTCAGCATGGACCTGACTGTGTCGGAGCTCATGGAGCTCTTCCTGCAGAGCCCGCTGGTGACTTGGGTGAGTGCTCCAGGCTCCCCGCCACATTGTTGGTGCATCCGCTCCTCTCCCGCCCGCCTGCCGTCTTCGCAGCCCCGACCCGTCCGGGGCCCCGGGTAGTCCCGGGACGCGGGGACTCACCAAGTGTTCCCGGCCGGGGCCCATGCCGCGGGGTCTGGAGGCATTTTCAACTCCTGAGCGGGCGCGCCGGGTGCAGGACCCCACGGCGCTTCCGGCCCGGCCGGGGCAGCGCGGGTACACCTGTTCCCACCGGGGCGCTGAGCTGGCTGCCCGGGAGCGGACTGGGTCGGAGTGGTCACCCCGGCCCCTGTGGCTTAACCAATCGGGAAAAGGACCCACTCCCCGAAAATATCTGCGTGTAGAACCCCTGAGACCGGCGGGTAGATGGCGGTGACGAGTGGGGGTTGGGGGGGGCCCGAGTAGGAACGTGTACAGGCTGGAGTGGGCGCAGTGATTTCTAATGGATTTGACACGTGAGAAATTTATTGAAAAGTCCATTTTATTTTACTTTCCCGCTCTGGGACGTTGGAGAAAAGTGGCGAGGAAGTTTTCCTCCGGCTGTCTCACGTCTGTTGCCTGGTGCGGGGAGTGGGGAGAGGCCCTGGAGAAGGGTGGGCTTGGTGCCTGCTGAAGCATGGGTGGGCGTAAGGTGACCCCCTCTGCCCACACGGGCTCTGCCCGCCTTTGCCCTAGAGAGCTTTAGACTGTGCGCGTGGGGTTGACTTTTCCTGCCTTACTCTCCGCGACCACAGGTGAAAACTTTGGGCCCATTCGGAAGCGGCAACCAGGACAACCTGACTATGTACATGGATTTAGTGGATGGCATCTTTTTGAACCAGATCATGTTGCAAATGTAAGTTATTTTCATGGAGGAAGGGAAAATAAATGATGCTTCAGAAATCTTAAGTTTGTAGAAATGGAGCGTGAGTTGCAACGGGAGGGTTCTTTGCACGTGGGGCTACTGGTATCTCAGTGGTAAGTGCCTTTTCGCTGCCATTGGTTGGGGTATGAAGAACTCTAGGACAGCGAGTTGGCAGCGTGTTTGATGAAGGATATTTGGAATTGAATGAATGTCATCCACATGGTGTAGGTAGTGCAATTAACTTCAGACTCAGGTACTTAATTGTGGTTTAAACTATGAAATTTTAGAAAAACAACAACAAAGAAAAAACCTCTTTGGGGGCAAGGAGCTGTAACGAACAGTGTCCGGTTACAGGAAGTGTCAGGGGTGGGTTGGGAGCATCCTGAGTGACTATAAAGTTTCTCTCTAGGTTAGGACGCCTGTGTTTCTGAGCTCCCTTTCAGTTCATCTTCCATTTTCAGCTGCCCCATGGCAACTGCCATTGGTTAAGTCACTTCTCACAAACGGGATTTAAAGTCACTGTGTTAGGAAAGCACAGGGAGTCAGAAGGCTGTGGTACTGTTTGTTTTACAGCATGCAGCCTATGCAGGGTATGGTGGAAGTTACACTTGTTAGCATGTGTGTCTGACCACATCCTTTCCTGTTGCTGAATTCTGCAGAGCCTGGCTGCCTGATTGACAACCTGCCACATGTAGGTGTTGGCTCCTAGGGCTGCATTCTGTTTTTAACTCAAACTGCAGGGGACATATTGGCACTGCATGTCGGTATGATTCACAGGCACTAGAAGCAAAATAAAACATCCTAATGTTCTCTGTAGAACATCCCTTTTTGCTCACCTACTCGCCTGCCCCTAAGCCAATTGTCACAGTTGAGCATAAACCCTTTAGCTAATGAGGATCAGCTTCATTTGTGGCCCACGGAAGGAGGAGGAGCGGTTAGCTTTGTCATATTCAGCAAGTGGTTTAAATAGATTTACCTACAAAAGGTCTGTTTTAAACAACTTCCCAAGAACATTGCCCCTTTTGTTTTACTAAATCATTCGGTGTCATGCTGTAGGAGAGACACTTCAACCTTAATGTTTTTTTGGTTTTTTTTGAAAGGCACTACCATTCTCACCAATTCTGTGTTTGATTGGGTTCTAAAAAGACACATCTGTTGTCAGCATTGGTCCAAGAACTGTGAGGAAAGTGAGTTTTCCTGGGGCAGCCTCATAGCATAGTCAAGTTCTGGCAACTCCCCCCAATTCTGTTAGACCCTGAAAATTACTGGGTTCCATTGGCGCAGCCACCAGTGAAAGTTCAACCTGTCCTTACCCAAGCCCAAGACTGTTTAATTAAAAAACCAGCAGTATCCCCAGCCTTTTCATTCAGCTCTTACACCCGGGCAGAGGGGAGAACAAAAGCCCTGGGACTGTTTCTCTTTCTTCCCTGACCTTTGGAATTCCTGAAGCGTTTACCACTTGCTTGTAAATCAGGAAAGCCCGTTGGACGTTCCTTTGAGAAATGCCAGCTCATCACTTGTTCATACTGTGGCCCGTGGCTAAATTCAGTTGGAAGGGCTTCTCCTCAGCCCTTTACAACTTCCAGTGTTGTTTTCTCCTCTGTGATACGCCAAGGTATTCATTCTGGAAGTGGGAGCTGATAAGTTTGCAGATATTAAGGCTTCAAGAAGCGCTTCTGGTTCCTTCTGGCCTGAGTCAGGCACAGAGAAGGGACGACAGGGAATCTGTTTGGGTGGCTTCCCAGAAGGAGGAAATCAAGGAGAGAGTGGCACCAGCAACTCATAGTTTACTGATTGGACGATCAGAATAACCCTGCTCCTTGGTGAGAGAAATGAGAACATCATTTGCCTCTGGAAGCAGGACGGAATTGACTGGAAAAGGGGCACAGGGAACTTCTGGGGGTGGTAGAAATGTTCTGCATATTGATGTGAATGTGTTTTATTTTTCAAAACTCATCAAGCTGTAACTTAAGATATAAGCATTTTACTCTATGTAAAAATTCCCTCAATTTAAAAAAAAAAAATGCCAGCCCTGGTGCGGACGCCCTAGATAGCCTGCTTGGTTCGAACTCCAGGTCTTTCTCATAATAGCCGCGTGATGCCAGGCATGTCACTCATTACTTCGGTGTCTTCATCTGTAAGATGGGAATTGGAAAGTACCTCCTTTAAGAGATGGTTGTGAGGATGAGATGAGACGATGTGTTAGCATTTCGCACAGTGCCTGCCACTTAAAAGGTGTGTCAATTACTTATGTATATACCATCTTAATCCAGAAGGGATTTGAGACACCTCACAGAAGTTCTTCTTTTTTCAGCCTCTCTTTTTCCCACATTCTTAGGCTCCTAGATTACTGCATAATTCTTAGCCTTAGTCCTCTCCCAGTGGGATCTGAGGCAAAACCGGACTCTGGGACCCACGTCCTAGTCCCGCATCTAACACTATATTTAATTAAGCTAAGCTTCTGTTTTCACTTCTGGCAAATGGAGAAATGTCAGGCTAACTAGTAGGTAAGTGCTAAAGCTATTCTGCTTTATCTCCCAGGCTAGTTAGTAGCTCCGACTCTGAGCTCCTCACCTATTTTGATAAATTCCCCCCAAGTTGGTAGGACCTGAGAAAGTGGCAGAGAACAGTATGCTAACTGGGTTGCTGGAACTCAGATAAGAGGCATGTCACCTAACACTTCAGAGCCATATGGAGGCTGGCTGGGGGTCACATGACTGCACCTGGGCATTGTCTCTGGCAACTGAAGAAGGCTACGGTAGTAGTCTTTTGGCCCTGGCCTCCCGGTGACATCAGTGCCTGAAAGCAGGAAAGCCCTGTGAGCTCAGCTTTCAGGGGAGGCCCAGGTCTAGGAGAATTCCTGAATGAAAGTCGGGCATTGAGTGGCATGGCTGGAGTTGCATGGGAAAACTTGCTGAATAGCTCCTCTGTGAACGCAGAGTCTCTGGGTACCCATGGGTACCCAAGGGAAAACAAGGTGTCTGATCCACTTCGGACACATTTTTCACTATCTCACAGGAAAATGATTTAAGAGTTTGGACTCTAGCAGCAGGCAGACAAGTTCACATTCCTTCTCTGCCACTTGATAGTTCTGGTACTTAGCGCAAATTATTTAAACTCCCTACGCCTCCATTTCCTGATCTGTAATAAGGGGGTGGTATTTTATAGACTTGAGGAGGATTAAAAAAGATTATGCAAATGGAAAATGCCCCCATGATGTCAATCATCGTCATTGTTAGCGTGAGGCCCAGAACTGGGTTCATGTGTATCCGCCTGCACGCGTGTGCTGGTGTGCATGTACTTGTGAGAGTGGACACCTGATTTGACCCAGATCAGAAGCAATGGCTCTTGATCGATTTCCTGCAGCAGAGAGAGGTGGCGGTCACGCAGTGCTGGGCAGAGTGTGGCATAGGCCTCCCTTAACCGTA